CATTTTTCTACAGGGACTGCACAGAGTCAATGCAGATATCAACCTTCATAATCAGAGTGATGTTTCCTTCTTATCTTCTCCCTGACATTCAGTAATTCTTTTACATAGTACCTTGATATCCAAACTGAACGTTACTGGTGAAGTCTGTAAATATGTCCTTTTTCTTCTCTTCTGTAAAATGTTGTGAATATAATGGCCTTAAGATCCATTGGGAGCTCAATTATATGTGTGGGAGCTGCAGTAAACAGGAAACTACGAGAAGCCGGGCAGGAGATTTCACCCAGCTGTGGTGAGGGGTAAGCAGTAAAGAAGGGAGGATTTCCTTACTTTGTCTTTCTTTTTATGGCTTCCAGTCTTGCTCTCTATCTCTTTCCCCCACCTCTCCTCATGGCATAAAACTTCTTGGATGGGGCAAGCCATCTAAACCCTGAGGTTTTTGTGTCACAGGACAGAGAGGGACTCAGGAAAGGCAAAAGAGCCAGGGGTCTCTAGGCAGCAATCTCCACCAAGTACATTTGTTATAGTGGACAATACCAAGGGGCCACCAAGTACATTTGTTATAGTGGACAATACCAAGGGGCCACCAAGTACATTTGTTATAGTGGACAATACAGAGAAGCAGGGAAAGTTTTCTGAAGGTTCCAGTCAAGAGCTGGAAAGCTGGATACAGGAGCCACTGAACGAACTGGTCTTAAACATTCTTTTGGCCCATGAGCAGAGCCGGAGGAAGACTGAGTAGGATTTATGAGAGAGAGAGGAAGATATGTGTGTCTCCTAAGCCTCCAGCAACGTGGAGATATATCAACAATCGTCAGGATACATGTATATGGGATACTCGGAAGGAACTTTTTTGATAATACAAATTCAAACCATAAAGCAACCAGAAAGACATGGATTCATGACAGTCCTGTTTCTGCAGTAAGATCCAAAAAAAGGTAAACACTTCTTTCTTTTTTTTAAATTGTGCTTTAGGTAAAGGTTTACAGAGTGAAATAGTTTCCGGTTGAACAATTTGTACACAGAATGTTGCAAGACATTGGTCGCAGTCCCCTCAATGTGTTAGCACTCTCGCCATCTCTGCCCTGGGCTCCCCATTACCTTTCGTCTGGTTTTCCTACCCTTTCGTGCCTCCTTGTCTTTGTTTTTGGTTAGATTTTGCCCTTTTGGTCTCATATAATCAACTGTTCTAAGGAGCTCGTTCCTATCTGGTGTTATTATTTATTTTGTAGGCCTGTCTATTGGAAACCCTGGTGGCGTAGTGGTTAAGAGTTTGGCTGTTAACCAAAAGGTCGGCAGTTCGAATCCACCAGGTGGTCCTTAGAAACCCTATGGAGCAGTTCTACTCCATCCTATAGGGTCGCTATGAGTCGGAATTGACTCGACAGCAGTGGGTTTGGGTTTTTTGGTCTATTGTTTGGCTGGAAGGTGGTCTCTGGGAATGGTTTCAGTTCCATGTTACAAGGGTGCCTTAGGGTCATAGTCTTGGGGGTTCCTCCAGTCTCTACCAGACCAGTAAGTCTGGTCTTTGTTATGGATTTGATTTTTGTTTTACATTTTTCTCTTGCTCTGCCCAGGACCCTCTATTATGATCCTGGCCAGAGTGGTCACTAGTGGTAGCCGGGCACCATCTAGTTCTCCCTTTCTCGGGGTCATGTACGCTGTGGTTCATGTGGTCCATTAGTCCTTTAGACTAATTGCTCCCTTGAGTCTTTGGTTTTCTTCACTCCCTTTGCTTTGGCTGGGATGAGACCAATAGTTGTATCTTAGATGGCCACTCGCAAGCTTTTAAGACCCCAGATGCTACTCACTAGCCAATTGACATAGATGTCCTCTGAGTCTATGGTCCTCAGAGAAGGCAAACACTTCTGTCTCCTCCCCTGTATGTCCCTCTTCCCCTCCAATTTAGGAGATGCCAAACCCAACCAAACCTGTTGCTCTCAAGTCAATTCCGACTCATAGCAACCCTATAGGACAGGGTAGAACTGCTCCATAGGATTTCAGAGGAGTGGTTGATGAATTCAAAGTGCCTACCTTTTGGTTAGCAGCTGAGTTCTCAACCTCTGTGCCACCAGAGCTCCTAATTTAGGACATAGTGTTACTGAAATGCTCCATCTCCACCACTGTTCCTTCCAGGAGTTCTCCTCCATCATCCATCCTCTTCCCTTCCTAGAGCATCCGCTCCTTCTCTCCTAGCTCTTGCCTTAGCATCTAAATGTGCTCGTTTCTCCTCACTTCAGACTCCTGCATTCTCCTCCTTGTAACCCCCTCTAGCTACCAGCCGCCCTCCTTCTTTAGTCTCATTCTGCTTCCAGCTCAATCCAACCCTGACAGTCTGGGTTTAGATCTTACCAGTCCTTGCAAACTGCCCTTACTGAGGATACCAGGATTTCCTAATTGCCAAATCCCACAAACTGCGTGACCTCTCTGCAGCATTCCACACTGCTGACCACTCTCTCCTCCCTGAAATCCTCTTCTCTTCTGGTTGCTAGTTACCTGCTCAATAGCCAGCCTTTCTTCTTCCTTACTAACTAGAACCTTCACATCCAATGAGGAACGGAGATTGGGGGATGGGGGGAGTAATGACATTTCTCAGCTTCCTTTACAGAAAGGAAGTGAGATATATGTGGAAGCTATTAGATGGGGCTTCCAGGAAAGCTTCTCAAAGGAGAGTCCACCTCAACTGCTGTGCTGCATGCCCATTTAATCCTGACCTTTCCTCCTGCTTCGAACATGGACACGATGGCTGGGTCTGGAGCAGCCACCTTGCAACATATGGAAAAGGCTAAAATCACAGAGACATTTATCCCATCATCCTGCAGCTGATGAACTAATGACAGCAACTGCTTACCTCCATACCATTTATTACATAAGAAAAATAAAGCCCTATCTTGTTTAATCCACTGTTTTGGGGTTTTCTATGATATGCTGCTGAAATTAACCCTTAACTGATATAGTTCTTATGACTACACCACTCCTACCTCTCCTCCTACTTATTAAGTCTCTTCAGGGGCCTCTCTTCTTCCACACTTCCTACATGGTGGTGTTCCTCAGTTTCTGTTCCTGGACTTCTTTTCCCACTGATTCCCAAGCAACTCACTGGTGTCTGCTGATTCTCAAACCACGAGGACTCCAAAATCCCAGTGTCTAGCTGTTGTGGATTGAATTGTGTCCCCCAGAAATATGTGTTGTAAATCCTAACCCTGTGGTCATAATCGCATTTGGGAATGGGGTTTCTTTGTTAAGTTAATGAGGTAGTATTATTGTAGGATGTGTCTTAAAGTCATTCTCTTTTGAGATTTTAAAAGAGCAGACTGAGCAAGCAAGCAAGCAAGCAGAGATGGGGGAAGATAGACGCCACACCACGTGAGATCTCCAAGGAACCAGGAAACAGAAGCTGAAAAGAGACAAGAACCTTCTCCCAGAGCCAACAGAGACAGAAAGCCTTCCCCTGGAGCTGGTACCCTGATTTCGGACTTCTAGCCTACGAAACTGTGAGAAAATAAATTTCTCTTTGTTAAAGCCACCCACTTGTGGTATTTCTGTTATAGCAGCCCTAGATAACTAAGACACTAGCCCAGGCCTTTCTCCACAATGCCAGACCTATAGAACTAAATGCCCATCTTGGCTTGCCTGTTGCACAGGAGCTTCATATACAATATTGATCACAATTTGGACTTGCCATCTTCCCCACAACTCTGCTCCTCCTTCTGGTCACTGGAGCTAGAGACCCTCACCACCCCTCACGCTCACACCCAACTGGTCCTGAAGTCCTGTCAGGTCTCTCTCCAATAGCTCCAATTTGCTCCCACTTCTTCAGTCCCACTGTCTTACACAAGCCCCCCATCATCTCTTACCTGGGCTGCTGCATTAGCTGCCTAACTAGGTTCCCTGCTTCCCACCAATCATCCAAATTGTTGCTGGATTGGTCTTTTTTAAGAAATGCAAATCTAATTATGTCACTCCCATTTTTAAAACCCTTTCATGGTTCCCTGTCCCCCACAGAAAACATTCCGATGCTTTTGCATGGATACGCATGCCTCTGCAGGATCTCAGCCCTACATATCTTGCCAGCACCCCTACATTTCAGCCACATACCATCATGGGCAGTTTCCCAGACTTGCCATAATTTTTCTCACTCCCTCACCTGATTGTTCCCTCTGCCTTGTAAGCCAAAAAGCCGTGCAAAGATAAGGTTTTAAGTGAGAGTTAAGAACCGGCTAGGGCCCTTATCTTCCTAGGCATCTCCTACCTTCATGCACAGAAACAACTCAGTGATAAAGCCCTGTCAGAATCCCAGAGATTTTTGTGTTGTTCACTTAACGTAACTGCTGAATTATAATTCCCTTTTTAATTAAAAAAAATTCTCTGCAAGGCACTTTGAACAAGATGGGCCAACATAAACATCAGCTGCATTTGTTCAACATCTTCTGTAGATTTTCATTTAAAATTTCACCCTCATCCAACATAAAATATCTCCTCATTCTGCACTCAACAAGAAAGGACATAGTGTGCTTTTCACGTGTGAAGTGTTAGGGGAGAAGGTGCTAGGGGCTTTTTCCTTTTTTTTCCTATTAAAGTTTACCTCTGAGGATCCTGGAACTTTAGCGTCCAGCCCCCCACCCCCACCCCTTCGTTTTCCGGAAGAGGAAACCAAGACTCTATTGACCCAGGAACATGGTACCGTGGAGGTGGTTAGTGGTGGAAACACACCGACACCCTGACAATGAATTTAGGGTTCTTTCCACCTCACCAGGCATGCACAGAGGATCTCCAACTCACAAAGAAGCCTCCACCTCCCAACCCCTAGAGAGGAGAGCAAAGTAGCTCCCTAAGAGCCGGTACAACACTCCACTTAAGCCAAGATGACAACATAAAGGCTTTAGGACAAAGGAAATTAGAAGAATTCAGTCCAGGTTTCCTTTGCCCTGGGACTAGAACAGCCCTCTCCCCCTCCTCTCTCACTCTGACGCCCACCCTGGGGCAAGTGAAGAGCCACTCACCTTCTGGGTGACGGGCTTGCCATCCTGCATCTGCACGGCCAGCCCCAGGTCAGACAGCCTGCAGTTGCCGAGGTCGTCCAGAAGCACGTTCTCAGGCTTCAGGTCCCGGTAGAGGATGCCGAGGGAGTGGAGGTGCAGCACCCCGCAGGTCATCTGGGCCGAGTAGAAGATGACCCGGCTCATGGCCAGGCCCCTATCGCCCACCCTGTAGATGTGGAACTTGAGGTCTCCCCCATTCATCAGGCTCATGACCAGGCAGAGATGTGACTTGTTCTCAAAGGCATAGGCCAGAGAGACGATGAAAGGGCTGCTGACCTTCTCCAAGATTTCCTTTTCTGAGAGAGCCATCTTCTCGCCGTTTTTCTTCTTCAGCCGCTTCTTGTCCAGTTTCTTACAGGCGTACATCTTACCAGTGTTCTTCACCTGAACGGCACATACCTTAACAGAGAGAGAAAGAGAGAGAGGAGGAGGTAGAAGTAGATGGTGGCGGAGAAATGGGAGGGAGGTGGAAAAGGGGTTGGGAGGAGAGTGAGAGAATCCACCAAGATGAAAGGATGACAGGCTTCTGGGAAAAGAGAAGTTGTAGGGAAGAAATTTTCTCAAGAAAGAGCCGGCCACAGCAGTGGTACAAAATGGATTCTCAGCTCTACTCCAAGATGGCGTGTTTCCTTAGGTATCTGAAGTTTTTCTCAAATAATCTCAATTACCTCTATTAGGGCAAAGGGATAGCTTCCATCGTATGTTATTGTCATTCTACAAAGTGTCCAGGGCATTCCAGCACGTTCCTGGGATGGTCCCTACGATAAGGATTCTTGGCCATTCCACATTTTTTTCTGTCTCTCCTATGCCATTCTTATTTATTTTACGTGGAGGCCAGAAAGAAAGGCTAAGAGTGAGCCAGGGATTTTCCATAGGTGGAACTGCCATTAACTCAAAGTAAGTTCCCTTGAGATAAAAAAAAAAAAAAAAAAAAAAAAAAAACAGACAAATAACTTTTATGCTCTATACTTCTGCCAGCTTGGCTATCCTTGAGACACTTACCTCCCCAAAACCACCTTTCCCCAGCACTCGGAACTCGTCGAAGTACTTGTCTGACACCGGCTGCATCTCAAAGCGTTTCCACTGCAGGAACTTGTCGTAGAAGGGGCTGGCCAGGAAGTCCCTGAACGGCTGGTCCCGCAAGAAGGCCATGGCCTCAGCCTTGGCCAGCGCCACCAGGGCCACTCGCTCTGCCTCGGTGGTGGCTGCTTGGCCCTTGGTGGCCAGAGCTTGGCTGAGGAAGGGGTGTGGGTGCCCTGAGGCAGGGCCACCCGCACAAGTGGCTACCAGCCCCTGCAGGGTGCTGCCCTTGGTGGGGCCCTCCTCAGCCAGCTCCCAGTTCTGCAAGTCCTCGAGGAAGGCCACGGCCTGTCGGTACGTCGGCACTGTGGCTAGGAAGTCCCGGAAGAGGCGGCGGCCGATGGGCTGCTGCTCACACAGGCTCTCGAAGTTGGGGGCCAGGGCCTGGCGGAGTTCCGTGCAGCCCTGCAGGCCAGGCAGCGCCAGGCTCCGCCGTCGCCGCTGCAGCTCCCTGCAGTCTCCTTCCGAGGTCTTCCGGGCCTGCAGGTAGGCTGTGTTGGCGATCAGGTTGTCCAAGCCCCCCATGTCAACCATGGCTCTCACAGTGAGGTGCGCTCCCCAGGAAGAGTGAAGGAAGGTCCCCAGGAAGAGTGAAGGAAGGGTGGAAGGCCGGGGCTGGGACTGAGTCAGGTCTGGTGGCCAGCTGGCTGCTTTCGGTTCTAAGACTAAATAACTTCGAGGGGATTTGCAGTGAGTCTTCTGGTCTGCAAGTGGGCCTGGCTGGAGGGTGCTGGAGGGATGGGAAGTAAGAGGTTTCTCCTGTAAGAAGCTTTGGCTGGCTAAGTATAGCACATTACAGGTCACGCTCCATCCACCAAGGCGAAATTAGACCGACATGCCTGCCCAGGTCTACTTGCTCCACTCCTGCCTCCAAATTAGCCCATTTGTGATGGGGCCCTGTCTCCATACACACCTCTTCCCAGAATACGCAAAAATCTACCAATTTTCCAAGGAATGGAGTACAGTAAGTCCCTGGGTTATGAACATCTGACTTACGGACAGCTCAGATTTGCCCTGTAATGTTATGTAAATTTGCCCTCGCTTTGAAACAATTGAACCAACCCCTACTCAAAACAAATTCTTCATCACAATCCCTTTCCTTGCTGCACGCCCAGCTTTTAAATCAATGAAAAGGCTTCTAGCCTTTTTTTTTGCACTAGGGAAGGCTAAATAAGAACTCTATGCACCTGTTCTGACTTACCTACAAATTCAACTTAAAGACACACTTGGGAACGGATCTCGTTCATAACCCGGAGACTACCTGTAGTAATAAATTGGTATATTGTTGCTGACAGCAGTATTTTAAACAATTTCCAGTTTTACAATGTTCCCTACAAGATGCAAGCTATGTAAGCCCCTAGAAATAACAACAGGTCAGGGAGAAGAACTGTGAGAAGTCAGGGAGGTTTTCCTCCTTGTGTCTAGGAGCCTGACAGCAGTGAGTTGTAGAAGGGATGCTCCCAGAGGCCCCAGGGGCTCAGGGTGGTCAGTGGCTCTCCCACAAAGCTGGTTGTGCCCTGAGGAGGCCTGCGATCTGAAGTATCTTGGGCTAAATATAAAGTGGGGTCTCCTTGACCCAAAACATGCCATGAAGTGTCATAAGCAGAAAAAGCCGTATTCCTGAAATAGATGAAGGGAGTCGGACTGGAGAGTCTGGACTCCACATTGGGCAAGAATTTTCCATGACAGTGAGGAAAGGCAGGCCACTCTGGGCTTGTGGCTGTGACTGCCTCGAGGCCACCATCTAATAGGTGGCATATGGGAATCTGAATGCTCAGGAGACCTTCGAGTTCAGAGGAGAGCAGTGACGTTTCAGGCGTGGTCCCTCAAGATCTTTGGCCCCTCTCCCTGAAGCGATGAAGCTTCTCTCCACAGTGGACACTCGGAGCTGTCACAGACCACGACTTCACAGAGCACAGAAATTGGTTTAGACAGAGATCAGGCTAAGAACCTCCACTCCAAAAATAACAACTTGCGTCCTACAGGGAAATAATACTCAGGCTTTTTCTTCACAAAGACAAAGGCAGCTTAAAAACTAAGTCATTCAGTATTATGCCAGAGTGTTTAAAAGAAAAAGAAAAAAAAAAAGGAGGAGGGGAAAAAAAACCTGGTCAGTCTTTTTCCAAACAAACAACTTTGAGCACACTGTCAAAACATTGCGATGAGCACCTCGGTCTGCCTGTCAGAGCCTGCCGACCATTCCTCCAGAGCAGATCCGCACATGGCCTCACGCTACCAAGAATTATGTAATGAACTCGTGGGTGCCCTTTGGCTTTGCACGCTGTGTGTAAACAGTCACCCCTACTGCAGAGAGGGGGATCCACACGAGTGACCACTGCTCAGAATCATGCCGTCTTCTGTGAATCCACACAAGGAGTGCTGGTGCTTTTTAGTTCTTGAGAGGGCATCTCTGGGCCCTCACTTCCGTGTAGTGAAAAACCAGTCAGAGAATCTCTCCTGATGAGGAAATGTCTTTTCCCCTGGTTCTTAAGAAGGCAGTGGCAATATAACAGGGCAGAGCTTTGAGAAAATGGCAGAATTGTCATCACATGGATATTTAATTTCGTCACTGAAAAAAATGTTTTTTACCAATGCAATATAGTTGCTACAAATTGCTTAATTCCACTCACACTAATACTTTGTTTTATCCCTTAGGGATCACTTAGGCCAACACTGTCTGATAGAAATATGCAAGCCACATACATAATTTAAAAATTTCTAATAGCCACATTAAAATCCAAAGAAACAGGTGACATTAATTTTAATAGTGTACCTTATTTAACCATGGATATCCAAAATATTATCGTTTCAATATGTAATTGATATAAAAATTACTAATGGGATATTTTTACACTCTTTTTGTTATGTCCTAGGACCTCAAAATCTGGTTTTTATTTTATACTTACAACATATCTCAATTTAGACTAGCCACATTTCAAGCGCTCAGGAGTCACATGTGGCCACGGCTACCTTACGGGGCAGTGCAGACTTAACCCTTCTTTATGTAGTTTTGTCATTCATTAAAAAAAGGAAGTTTTTTTTTTTTTAAATTATTGTTTCTTTTCCAATTAGTGATAACACAGACCATTTGGGTTAAAGAACTTATTCTCTTATTAATTAAAAATTATCTGATGATGAGAACAGACTTTAAATAATATTTGAACACAAAGTTTAGAAGTTATAAGATGAAAATCTGTTGTCTACTGGTAATTTTAAACAGATTATCATTATTTTTTAAGTTTTACACGCGTCAAAAAATGGAGAGGTCTATCTAAAATAGAACGCTGTAGGTGATTACTAACAGTATGGTCCGGGGCTGTCTCCAACTTAATGAAACAGTAATTTTAAGTGCGATTAAAGAGCAGCACTGAATCCTCAGCTGGGAAGCAGAGCCAATTCCTGGACACAGTTGGCTACTCTGTGCCACTTGGGAAAAGTACCAGAAAGCTTGGATTGGAGGTGTGTCCCGTCAGTTATCAGCACTAACTCCAGCACTGCTTTCGAGATCTGAATCTCAGCTCTAGCAAATGCTAGCTGTGTGTCCCTGAGCAAGTTGCTGAACTTCTCTGAGCCTCTGTTTCCTTATCGGTAAAACAGATAATAAATGTGATTCTTTGTATGTTGTTGACAGTTTCTTTGTTCCACTTAATTTTCTGTGCTGAATCGTTTTCTTTATGTATTTTCTTTTCATTTTTTTCATTCTTGTTGATTTTATATTTGCTGAGTCTTTATGTTTTTCTTGTTTTTTATTTTGATGTGTAGGATTGTTAGTTTCCTTTGTGGTTACCTTAATATTTACCCGTATTTTTCTAAGTTTAAACCACTCTCTCATTTCTTTATATTGCCTTGACTTCCTCTCCATATGAAAAATCTATGTCTACATTTCTTAGTCCCTCTTTTTTGTTTTAATGTTGTCATCTTTTACATTTTGACATCTGTTTCCCTATTTTCAGTGTTTTAGCTTTGATTTACTTTTGTGACTTCCCTGTCTGGGTTGATATCTGGTTGCTCTGTCCTGTGTTCTAGTCTTGGGTTGTAATCTGATGTTATTGATTTTCTAACTGGAGGGCTCCCTTTAGTATTTCTTGTAATTTTGGTTTGGTTTTTGCAAATTCCCTAAACTTCTGTTTATCTGTAAATGCCCTAATTTCACCATCATTATTTGAGAGACAGTTTTGCTGGGTATATAATTCTTGGCTGGCAATTTTTTTCCTTCAAGGTTTTATATATGTCATCCCATTGCCCTCTTGCCTGCATGGTTTCTGCTGAGTTGTCTGAGCTTATGCTTATTGACTCTCCTTTGTAGATGACTTTTCGTTTATCCCAAGCCACTCTTAAAATTCTCTCTTTATCTTTGGTTTTGGCAAGTTTGATTATAATATGTCTTAGTGACTTTCTTTGGGGATTAAATGTGCTTCTTGAGTGAACTGTTGAGAGAATTAAATGCCAATTAGTGCCTGGCCCAAAGAAAAGATCAGAAAGTGCTAGCTTGTAAAGTGATGAGTCTATCAATACAGGGATGAAAATGCAGTCCGAAATTAAGCTGTTTTGTTATGTAGATTGGAGGTGGGAGAGACCTAAACAATATGAAAGAAGGTGGGTTCCTGGGTCTTATGCCACCTGTGTAGAGGCAGCCAGCCCAGGGTTACCTGTGACCTTGGAACGCTGTGGTGCCCTGTGGAGCTGGAAGACAGTGAAATCAGATTCATTAAGTAACAGGCAAGATTTCTAACAACAGAAGCCAGTAGCACAAACTATTGCAGTGGAACGATTTGCTATATTCTGCCATAAAAAGAAGACTATACTCTGTCATGGAAAAAGAGGAGGTGTCATTTTATTTTGAAATTAAAATCACAAATTTTATTGATAGTAGAAAACAACTAAAATACTTTAGTATTTTTTTATGACTAATTTTGTAACCTGGAGAAAAGAACAGGAATGCTCTTTGCCCAGGTCTTCTATTATGTCTGCATTATGTGACTTAAAGCATTATTTATGGTGTGCATATTCTTAATTTTAAAATGGTCTGATGTCATACAATGTTTGAAATACAAAGAGCATAAAAAAGCTTTAGGTAACAATTAGTAATACGATACGGTTGATTTGCTTGTCTTTCTAAGGATTTTCAGTTGGAAATACATCCTATAACGAACTGTTCAGGGAAAATAGTACAGCTAGGTCTCTAATAAGAGTGTGATCTTCCCTGAAGAACTGGACAGTGCCCAACTACCACCAGTGACCACCCTGACAGGAAACACAACAGAGAGCCCCAGACGGAGCAGGAGAAAATGTAGAACAGAATTCAAATTCACATAAAAAGACCAGACTTAATGGTCTGACAGAGACTGGAGGAACCGCCGAAACTGTGGCCCCCCCTAGACGAACTGAAACCATTCTCAAAGCCCACTTTTCAGACAAAGATTAGACAGGCCTGTAAAACAAAAAGTAATACATGTGAGGAACATGCTTCTTAGTTCAATCAAATATGTGAGACCAAATGGGCAGCTCCAGTCCAAAAGCAGGACTAGAAGGCAGGAAGGGACAGGACAAATGGACACA